TGCACAAATGCTTCCAATAGTGTTTTGTTTACAGTTTGTGATGTCCCATCGCTTGGAGGAATTAGTCTAAAACAATCGTATAAATATGATTCAGGGAGGGGTAGTGCGGTTAATTCTTACATGGCTGTAATTCGGCCGGCACTAGAGAAACCAGTTTAGTGCCAACGTACAATGTTCCTTACAGACGCAACGTAGAGCACTGAGGTTTGGCCAATATTGAACTAGCTAGTGTTGCCGGAGACTACGGTTAATGATGCCGTGACTAGGGAGATGCAACGAGGTTTAACGAGGAGCCATCTGTCAGGAAACCTCGGCAATCTTGGACCCTGCACGAAAATGAAACACAACTATAAAGTCCACGAAAACAACGAGGGCACGCAACAGATCACATGAAGACTATTTTATAGTCAAATCGAAAACGGGAGAGTTTCAGACTCTATGTTATTCACTCGTAAATTTAAACTTTTAAATTCAACGTTTTAAATGTTGATTCAACAAGATCAAGGGAAAATATTTAAATTATTGCATTAACTCTCTGTTGGTTTGCACATTTGAAGTACTGTGTTTATCATTTAAAATGTTGGATTCAACACTTGCAAAGAGTTATTATTTACTGCACTCCTGAAAGTATTGGATTCAATATTTCAGTTTTCAGCGTGTTGCAAGAAAGCGCGGTTAATTCTGGTGGAAAACGATTCTGCGCCAACCGTTTGCGCACTCAGTCTTGTGGGACAAGCGAGGAATCGTGGTATGCTCATTCTGTAGCACTCTAGCCACGAAACTGTATTTCGCGTACAACATCCATGTTTCTGAAGGACGATGGCCCCTTCGGTGAACCCAGACAGTTGCTACGTGACGTGATCAACGCGACGGTTAAGGGTGCAGTCCACTAATTCAGGTGATGATTTCTGGCCAGCTCATTAGCATTAAAAGTGCCCTCGCAGTATCTTTTGAAAAAGGAGATTGGCCCCCAAAATGGTGAGATTGTGTAAATCGTTACCAGGATAGGATCAACTCCCTGGGTCTTTGAGCTTTGAGAGTAGAATGAGAGTAGAATGTCTGAAATCTACGGTTGAAAAATGGTTCCAAGTGCCCGAGAACGTTGAGGGTTGCCACTTGAATATGGCTGCTATCAGACTTCGGCAAAATCACTTTTCGGGGGTGATTTTGTTTTGTGTGAATAATTAAAAATGTAATTGGTTAACCCACCAAAAAATTGAAAGATTAGGGACCAGACAATAATTTAATTTGTGTTTCATAAATCTCAGGGATGTTGGTATGCATGTTATTGGGCCCTGAACAGCGCTGATTTTACACTGTTTTGAATGGGGCTTGAATTAGTGGACTGTACCCTTAATCTTCCGCTGTTGTGTCTGGTATGTCATTTGGACAATGTGCAAAGCGCGGCGTGCGGTATATTTTATGGGAATTTCTGAGCGATGACTCAGCTGTGCCTTGGAAATGCAGGTAATGACACGATCACATAGACTGAACCGACGACACGATGAAATCTAACTTAAGAAAATTATAAAGTGTGCTGTGTATAATTTTGGTGAACAAATTCTTCTAGGAATTCTGTAAATTAGGATTTCTAGTTTCGCAAGTTTAGCAACGTTTTTTTGATTAGAAGTGATGTGAAAGATGTTAAGACTTACCTGAGAGGCGGCTTGAAAAATGGAAAATGGACACCGGAGCCAGATTTACCTCATGATGTTGTGAGCTTTAACATCATCGTTCGGCCGCTAATCACACTGTGATTACACATGGCAGACAGCAGAGCTCGTAGTGACCGATGTACTTTGGTTGGACTGTGCTGGACCTTACCAATGCTGACGAAGCGTAAACAATAGCGCAAGTACACTGCATGCTATTGACATCACTGGGCATCGACAGCCCAAGCGCGCTGTGTTATGATTGGGAAAAACCTTACCGTATGCGTGCACAGTGTTGACACATAACTTCTAGGTATGCCGGACCGTGGCATTATGCTAATGAGGCTCACTCGCATGACTCATAAAGTGTGGCAAAGAGGGATTCACGCTTTCGTGTCTTTCATAGTGTTGTAGGAATCTCGGGAGTTCCTTTCCGATTGGGGGGGGGAGACGCATAGGTACAACAGCCTTGGGTCTAGTATTTTACGCACATATTGTGCTGGGAAGAGGGGCAATGTGGTGTACACGCATAGCGGCCAGTCGGCCATCTTTTTAAGTTCCAGCCTGGGGGTAAAGCGCCCAAACCACTGATACCGGCAATGAACCGAGAAGGACCGACTTTTCCCATCATCATTATCAGAATGAAAACTTTCAACTATCCGTTCTAGGGTTCGTTAATTTTTTTTCTGACGCAATCACCCAATTCGGGAAAAGATTAAAGCCATATCATTTTGTCGGCTCTTCGCGGTGATTTTCATACTTTTTTGGAGTGGATTTTATGAAAGACTCACCCTTTTTGACAGCGAGGTTTACACTCTTTTGACTTTCGAGAGTAAGAGAAAGGGAAAAGACAGAAATGGAAAAAAAGAGATCGAAGGGGATGGAAATCACCTTAATTCGATCCTTGGAAAAAAAACCACTGCACGCAAAACCAATCTCCTCAACAATACGGGCGATTCACAATAGTTCGCCACCACGAGTCTGCAACGCGTTGGCCAATCACTACGCGCAAAATCGGTCGACCATTTCCAAACGCGCATTTGGTCGACAGATTTCGCGCACTGTGATTGGCCAATGGTTTATCAGCTTGTTGTTGACTGGAAGAGAACTTCCTCCCTCGGAAATCCTCCAGGAAAAAGGCGCCATGCATTTTTTTAACACCTGAGAAGGTTGTATGCACAAACCACTTTCACGAAGAATTTATTCCAACCACGTAGATTAGCCAAAAATCAAGTGGCGCGAGCCCTGTTCTTTGAAAGCAAAATTCACTGACAGCAAGACTCGTGTTAACAGAGGGCGTTCGAGTACATACAAACTAGTGACCGCAGTGGTGTGAAATAAATCGGCCTATTACGAATTGGCAACAGTACACCTACGTTTCCAACAAGTTTCAGTGTATGTTTACTGGAAATCTGACATGGTCGTCGTATTTTTTGGCGTCACTGAAATGAAGTATTCCAAACAAGTACTACATTATGACGCAAGTAACTCCAGCACAGGAAATGTGTGTTTTGAAATGAAAGAGCGCTGCCGCAGTATTGTTTGCTGTCGTAGACGGATAAAAGAACAAATTGGATTAAAGAAAAACAAACATATTGCGGGGTTTTTCCTTTTACAAACAAACTGCTATTTTGATATAATTATGTTAGCGAATATATTCATAAGATTACACAACATTCTGCACCGTGAAATGACATCCTCACACCATCATAACACAAGAACGTTCTTTTTGTACAACTTTTTTATGTTGGTAATACATTTAACACTCCTGGTGTTATCAGAGGACTACATCAATATTTTTCACCGGTGTTAACACTTTTGTTATTCGGTATTACTTTTAACACCCTCCAGTGCATTGCATCAGTTATAGGTACGCAAAGTAAAACAAACGGTGTTAAAGTAACACCCTATGGTGTGGTCATCCGATAACACGAAAGTGTTGATTTTAACACCAGAGTTTTTACAGTGTATAAATAGTCAAGTATATCAGGGTTAGTTTCACACGGATAAAGCTGGTTCACGCTGTCATTAGGCGGGAACTTCTGGTGTCTAATATCAAGACTCCCGCGCATGCGTGTAAGAGATCATTATCTGTGGTACGGACGTCGTTGAAGCTACAAGAAGTACATGGCCAGTGGCGGTTTTTTTTTACCAGGTCGTAGGTTTGTGAACAAAACGCTAACGTATGGAAGAATGCTATACGATCTGTGATATTTTAGTCAAAAATATTCAATAATTTCAGTGCACCACATTCGATTACTTCCAAAAAGTGATCATTAGGAAACACTTGCAAATGATGGTCGTTGCCCATGTTATCATGAAGGAAAGCTTGAGTTTAAGTCCAAAATTCAGTGAAGGCCGAGTAGCATTCAACAAGTGCTCGCACGGTCGCTTTATACCCGTATTCTTTTGAGCGGGTTTTTCTGGAATAATATTGCTTGTAGAACAAAATTCAACGAAAAAAGAGAGACAGCCTAGATCTTTTGGGAATTTTTAGTAGAAATTTTTAGAATAGGGATTTTCTTTCACAAGAACTGAGACACGTGGAGGGCATGTTGCTTTGTGATGCCTTAGGCCTAGTACTGTGCAGAACATTTGGCAAGACTAACTCCGATCCTCAGGCATGTCAGGAAGGACCGTCCTTCGCATTTTACTGGTAGATCTCTGACGATTACCTTTCATGTAAGAGAAACTGAAGGGTGTTTTGAGACATTCCTGCCCCCCAGTCAAGTTGACAGGGTATGAGGTGCATTATGGGAAATATATCTATTTATATTGTCATACCAGAACACCGACAGGGGCCTGCATAATTGTTGCCCTACACTCTGTGACAAAGAAGTACAATAAATCCAGTTGGCAATTCAAAATCAATACAAAGCAAGTCAAAATTTTTTTTTTCAATTAAAAAATTGTTTATAAAGCACAAGATCAGTATTGGGATAGAAACCTTTCTTTGATACAATGCCATCAGGTTTGGTCGTGCTAAATGGGCAGTGAGCTTTCAGTTCGGCCATTCGGCTGAGAACCGTGAAAAATAGGCCTACTGAGCCACTAATTCACGGTTTCCTTAGTGATTACACGGGACTAAGACAATATCTGCAAGAGTTTGTTCCTACTGATCTCTACCGTAACCCTTGGGCACTAATCAAATGTGGTGTGAAATTATTGAATATTTTCGACAAAAACATCAAAGACTGAAGCAGTGCTAGTCTTCCATAGATTACTGTTTACTGTTTCGTAAACAAATTAGCACGGTAAAAAATACCCGCCACTCTACTACTGGTAGTTTCAACCAAAGATCGTATTTTCGCGGCGCTATACGATCTTTGGTTTCAACGACGTCCGTATCACGAATGCTGACCTCTCTGAGTAACACGCATGCGTACGGGTCTTCATACTATAAATAGCCCTAACCCTGCTTGGAAAAAAAGTATCCCCGCGTACATAGCTTCTATGAAATGGACAGGGAGACTCTCTCAGGGTGCCGCAAGCCAGAAGTTCAAGCGTAAAGCGCCGTGGAAACTCCCCTCCAATTTTGCAGGTTGGATGACGATACAGTCCAACATCCGACGCAGACAAAAGAAAACAGTACTGAATATACACAAACAGCTTCAAAACATTCGTTAATATTATTTTGAAAGAAACAGCGCGATTGGCGCCCACAAACAATTGGTTAACATGCTTTTACAATACACTATTCTCTTAGCTTTAAAACTGTGTTTGCATGGAGTGATTATGTGTGAACATTTCTGTACGTCAAGATGCTGCTTTGTGTACTTTGTGTACGAAAGTTGACATATCGCGTGCCGTATGCCGTTGAACGATGCAAAATTACAGAAACTTTAATGTCAATATTTGTGCTATGATTTTTGGAGAAGCAATTTTCAACAGGAAAGCTCTCATGATAGAACTGCGACAAATAGGCTTCTTAAATTAGAGTGCGTAATTCAGATACTGCATGAGATGGCAGGAATAAACATGTACTCTAAGCATGCTATTTTAAAACACCATGTCTGTTTGATCGAGCGCACGGTAACAGAAACTGTGTCAGGAATGATTTATGAATATATGTTCATGTTTTGACAAGCTTCAAGAGAAGTTTCATAACAGCTTCCCAATTAACATACAATCTGTCTAACATTTAAGTTGTCACTGGAACTATATTCATACAAATTAAAATTTAATAAAAATATATTGGCGAGGATTTCTAAACCTCAACGTGCAAAATCCACAATCTTCATCGATAATCGATTTTTAATGCAAAATTAATCTCCCTGTCAAAACAATACCAGTGAGTCATTTATAAGTTCGCAGTAAATTTCCCCCTCTTTATACAAATTTACATAACTGTATAGCCACATAATAAGTGAACTTAGGGAATGATTTCAAATTAGAAGTCACCAGCAATTATGCAATTCTTGAGTAAAAGCGCGATGCAAATCCCGTGACATAACAATGAAACCTCCAGACAAAAAGCTCATTGTTAAGTACACTGTGGTCATATCCCTAATCTGGTCGATGTGGCGATGAGCAGAACACTTCCGTTAACTCCTCTGTCTCTCTCTTGTATTTAAATCATGGTTTGGATATCCACAAAATCTTAGATGTTAGAATTAGGTTTAGAATAGGCTGATGCCTTTACAGGATTGCAATATGAAGTTTACTTTTGGTGTGCAATGTCTGGGGTGCTAGACTGGAACGAACACGTATGGCGTCAATCGGAAAGTAAATGATTTCCCGAAGGAACATTACCAATCGATGGCCTACACTAAAGAAATCAAGATAACAAGCAGCAGAGTGGAAAGAGGAGAAATGGTTATGATTTTCGTAATTACGGTCAAAACACGCGATTCCCTCTAAATATTGAATTGAAAATGTTTTATAGGGGCCTACACTGTAAAAACTCTGGTATTAAAATCAACAATATTTGGTGTTATCAGATGACCACACCATAGGGTGTTACTTTAACACCTCTGGTGTTACTTTGCACACTTATAAGTGTTACAATGCACTGGGGGATATTAAAAGTAACACTAAAGGACAACACGTTTTTTTACACCAGTGAAAAGCATTGTTGTAGTCCCCTGATAACACCAGCGGTGTTAAATTTAACACTCCTTTTTTGCAGTGTACGATAGGAAAGTTTCTTGCGATTGGGGTAGCGAATCATTCGGTAGGAAGCCAGTTTGCGTATCCAAGAGTCCATGCAGAGTCTGACAACGAGGTGGTTCATAACACCACCGGACATTCTTCACAAATTCTACAGGGAAAGGGCAGATACTGCGTGCAGCAGTGCAAGGGATCAAGGGCCAAGTTCG